TCGCGTGCTGTTTGATTCACGTAGATCTCATCTGTATCCGTCTTCTTCAGCAGTTCATCACTTTGCGTGATGAGATCGCTGACATAATTTTGAAGTAACGAATCCATCGTATCCTGTTGGCAAAATCTAAGCCGAGTCAGTTTTCGTGCAAAGCTCAGTCGTTTCTGGCGCAAACAACTTACAATGCAACATAGTCTAGACATAACTCTAGCACCACTTTTGAGGCGTCAAGATCATGCCGTAGACTCACCAAAGGTCCGTCCTTCAGCACACGCCAGTCCTCTTTCGGTTTGCTACCACATGAAAGCTTAAGAAAAGCCTTGTGCAATTTTTCGCAGGTATCATCGCATGAGTCCAGAACTCGCGAAACAGCATCGATCAGAGATACCGGTAACTCGGCCCACTTTGCCGAAAAGTCGTCTTGCGCAATACTCAGCCCAGTCCTGATCACGAGCAGATCACTGTTGATCTTGTTCAGGTCGTGACGAGCATCGCGGAATTTACGAGCAAAGCTGCTGATATCCGGGATGACCTGTTTTGGGCGTTAGCGCGTGTAGGTGCAAAGTTGAACATCTGAAGCGGCTACCTGGGCGATCGAAGTTCCTAGCGCAGCGCATCGGGCAGCGACTGTACTAGGACGCGACATTAGTTTGGATGTGCGTTGACAAAGTTGATGCTAATATGCACTTTGAAAAAGACGTCGAGGGCGTTGCCGGGCTGTCGAGGCTGTCGTGTTTGTTTTGGGGACGGCGATGCCTGTCGGCGATTTTTGAAAGGTGTGTTGGCTTGGTCGGAGCTGACGAGCTTGTCACATCGTGAAGTACTGGCGTACGGCACGGATCTCAAGCTCTTGCGTGCCCGCCGGTTACTTGGTGGCCCACGACGTTGGATGCGAAAGGGGGGAGACACAGATCACGCTCAGTTTACGAACAAAATAGGCTGCGCATTGTTTGAGGAAGGGTTGGGTGTTGTTGGGCTTTGCGTCTCCAGAGCGGTGGCTAATGCAAGAGACGTGCCTCAAATTGCGGGAGTGCAGGTGAAATTCCCCGTCTCTGAGAGCCACCAACGACTGGGCTATGGTGTTGCCATGGCTGGGGGAATAGGAGACCAGTCGCTATTGTGGGTTAGGCGGTAACGGGAGGCGCGCAGGGGATCCCGGCAGTGGAAATGAAGCCGACTGGGCAGGGGAAACATTAGATTGTCGCGTGTGCGAATGCGAGGACATCAATTTCAATTTCGCATCTTTTTTTCTTTTTTGTACATACTTGCTGCACGAACGACTCAGTCAACAATGCCAGGTGGCAAAAATGAGAGGTAATCGACCGGGCCGGGCTCTATCCCATCAGCCTGCGCAGTGAGTCGCACCACGTCACCTTGCCGAACCTCAACACCTCTGAACGTGATGCGCGTCGCGGAGTGCCCATCGAGATACACGCTCGGCGCGTGTCCCAGCTTATCTTCCAGATCCCCCACCCAACTACCTACGATACGATCGCCAACCTCGAGCTCGTACTTGGCTTTACCTCCAATCAAATCGTAGTAATTGACAGCGACGTCGTACGTTCCCGAGGCGAACGTGACATTAGCGGTCGCGACGCCCGTTGTGGAGTTTGATGTGGTGACGATAGCCGTATATCCGGAAGCGGTCTCAAAAGGGCTTACCGCGTAAGTCATGAAACCATCGAGCATCATGTCTTCCGCCTCAATGCGATACGGGTGATTGCCCACGCGCTGGTTCTCGTCCGCTATCTGTGAGAGATTGTGGTAGAATTCGTTGATCGCATCGCGCCAAACTATCGAGTGGCCAGCTTGGAACGTTTGCCTGAACAACACATGTTCATATCGCTCATCGTCGATTTTGCCCTTCAAGGACTCCCATTGCCCGACAAATTCCTGCGCAACACCAGCACCTTCGTAATGGGCATCTGCAGAGGTAGAGGCACGAGGTCAGTATATGTCTCACATGAGTTTTGACAGCCAGAACCTACCATAGAAATGCTGAATCACAGTCTTGTTGGATTTCAGTCGCTGCGTGTACGGAACGTGATGGAACCAGAGCAGTAAATTGTCTGGCGTCGATTCAATATCTTCGTAGATTTGAGCGACCTCGGGCGGGTATTGTCCGGCATTGCCAGTGCCGTTCTTCACGGTGCGGTCCATGCCAATACTGAATGCATCGGCGCGTGTCCATTGACCCCACCCATTACCGTCTTGCGAAGCAGGGTTTGGTCCAAAGTGTGTGTACAAAATGTCAGTCAGTGTCTGGATGCCGAGATTGCCGCTGTAGTTCTCGTACGCGGGCCACGACCTCATGGACATATCGGTGATGGTGTCGAGCACGTCCGGGTCAAAGCCAAATGTCAATCGAATCCAGTCTTGCAGGATGAACTTCGGGTCGACCGACGCGTCCCATGCTAGTCGTCCGTACGCATACAGATTGGACATGGCTAGATGCGAGCCTAGCCATGTCGCATTTGATCCAACTCCTGTCACGCCTGCATAACCACCCAATGGTCGCTTGAAGCGCTCTCCAGTGATGATGTCTTTGACCTTGGATGACTGGTTGTCAGATCTCATGTCAAACTCGAGGATCTCTTTCCATTGTGGAGCCAAATAGACTAAGTGGCAGTTTTGGCCGAGATACTCGGGCGTGATCTGTAGCTCGATAGCAGTGCTTGTGTGGCGCAAGGATCCGAACAATGGCGATGCTGGCTCCCGAACCTGAAAGTCAATCTGTAAAGAAACAGAGATATGTTAGTCTGCGCTTATGTAAAATTGCGTCTGTAGACATACCGGGCCGAATTTGATCTGAACTACTACGTTGTCGTCAAACTTCCCATCGAGATGCTGAAAGAATTCCAGTTGCGCATTCGCCCTGTCGTTATACCAGTTGGTTTCGTTGATGTGATTGTCATACACGAAAGCGCGGAACATAACGACCCCACCGTGGGGTTTAGCTGCCCTCGCGAACATGTTGGCGCCGTCTGCGAGTGTTCGGTTGTAGGTCAATGGTCCAGGCTGTCCCTCTGAATTCGCTTTGACGAGATATCCGGCCATGTCAGGGACCTTGGAATAAATTTGGTCGGTAATGTTGGCCCACCATGCATCGACCTTCGGGTCCAGTGGATCAAATGTCCCCAGCGTAGCATTCGGAGATGCGAAGTTGAGGGATATGCCAAGTTGCACACCCCATGGTCGCATCGCATCAGCGAGTCTACCAAGGCCTTCGACATTGCGATCGTTGAGTAAGGTGGCGTTTGCGTTAACGTTGTTGATAATGGCGCCATTTACACGGATTGATGCGAGCAGGCGAGCGTATTCAGCAACCCGTGTTGTGTTGTCTACGACAAAGCCATCCCGGAAGAATAATGAAGGGCCAGCATACCCTCGTTCGATACTGCCATCCATATTGTCCCATTCATTAGTCCATCGGATGGGTACCTGCGGGTTGTATACGGTAGAGGCAGCCGTGACATCATCTTGCGCGAGCTGAGAAAGATATTCGAAGGCACCATACAGAGCGCCGCGCTCATTCTGTCCAATAATGATGACTTTTCCAGGGGTAGTTGTGCTGAGGAAGAAACCATCTTCGTCCAGGTTCTCGCATTCATCAATACTTCCGTATGCGGCTACGTAGGCGTCCCACGTTCCGACAATGATGGCAGACTGACTTTGGTCTGCCGTCGAGCTGACGTTGAGCTTTCGTCCGATGATGCCCTCTACGCCTCTCTGAAGCTCTTGGCCTGCTGTGTAGACAGGGCTCACTTTCGTGCTGTTCAAAGTGATGATCGCCGGGGGTACCGATTGTGCGCATGGCCCGTCCGGTATAGGAGCATAGCGCAGCCAGCCTTGTGAGCCATCTTCGGCTACAGCAACGCCCAGCACGCAAAATAATATGGTGAGTAGAAGTCGCATGATTGGCGTCAATGGGTCACGATTAACAACCACATACTGGCCGCCGTCCCCAAGATCCTTTATAGGTCACCATACTTTCCTCATGATCAACATGTCATTAGCACATTTACGGCAGCAATTGTCGTGACATCTCCCACCGAGGAATCAAAACGACGTCTAACGGTCGCACCGTACTTCAGCCTAAAAGCTGGGCGCAAGAACAAGATCAGTTAAGCGTGCGGAGGGCGGCTCAAGCTTTACTGGCTGATTGTGGGGATGAATGGCGGGGGTCGGAGAGATCGGCAACAAATGGCTGAGAAAGTCCGCCGACCCGGTTAACAGCCGATGGCAGTGCCCTTTCCGATCGTTGTACGCGTGGACGAAAGCGCCGCAAACTTGATGGTATGCGAGATCGTGTATGGTGGAATTTGATCAGGACGAGAGCGAGGTGGTCGGGTTGCTCGATGTTTGCGCCGCAATCACGAGAGACCTCCAGGGCTATTAGGGTAACTACGACGTCATCAGCCGTTTCGCCCATGCTTGACCGCCTGCAGCCAATAGGCGATTAAACCCTTCTCTTCATTTGCGAACTGAATATGACATTACTCGGTTGAGCTCCATTACTACATGCGCGTGGTGAAGACCTCTCGTGTCCCTACAATCATACCTCAAGGCTTTTTTGAACCAATTGACAGGGCGGCAGCAATGCTGATCGACCAGACTTGTCGAAAATGCCCATTAGAGAATTCTCCTATTATCGTATCTGGATCTAATGACCTTTACCTTGTCGCGATATCTTCTCGCGATAGCCTAGTACACTCTCACTCAAATGTAGGGCCTGGCTCTCACGTACCGCTCTTGTAGCCTATGTTCTATCACTTCATACACCTTAACTCTGACAGGGTCTCTCTACATATAAAGCTCTCATCTCCTTGCGGTCCAGGGTTTACCTCTCATCGTATCCACACTTCATCGGCCCTTTCCCCTCGTCTCTGGCACACTACCTTGTGCGTGCAGCATCACCATATTCATTGGTGGAATACTGATAAACCCGTCAGAGCCCACAGTTACTGGTTCGCGGTGCTAGACTGCAAGTATCCCCTACCATGGGAAATACCAACGTCAACAATCCCATCACTATCGATGAAAGCGTAACGAACTGGTACACACAAACCATTTCCAGGCAGGCACGTTCTCTCATACCCGATGAGTTTGAGAAACTCCCAGCGTTCGAGACCGTCAAGTTCAGTCATCGCAAAAGCTTTGGTCCAGCAGTCGACACCTATTTGCCACAGGACGCTTCCGAGATGGTACTTACTCTGGGCACCTTCGACGCCCCGTATCTGGAGTTGAAGCCCCTGGTCTATATCTACGTGTATGGATTGAAGAATCACCATATCGGGTACTTTTATGTCAAGTCAGACTCGACCGTCCATCGCGTGCAACAGAGCAGTCTCAAGCATGTCGATATCGATGAACCGTTTTGTGACGTCGGAGACCTCTCAGTTGGCAAGCAAACTTTGTGCAACAGAGTACGAGCGATGGCACTTTACTACTTCTTAGCTGCTGGTTACATCGACGAGGTAGGTGACTACAGTCATTTCTGGCTCGACTTCAAACAGGCTTGTGCATGGATCGCAAACAAGGGTAGCCGTCCAAAGCCTCACGCAAAAGTCCAGAAACAGGAACCGGAAACCGTACTAGCTTCTGCTGCGACACTAGTGCCGATTCCAGATAGGACTGACTTAACGCACGGCACTGTCGCATCTCAGAAACGCACCGGCGATGATGAACCCATGCCAGCAGCAGGTAAGTTAAGAAGCCTCTATTCCATCTATCTGGACAAGCTAATAGACGACAGCGAGAATCAAGCGTCGCGACTACAGTCGTATCGTACGAACATGCAATAGCTTGGATCACGCTCAAAGCTAACTGTCGTATAGATACACCCATCACACAGCACCTTACGGCGATCATTAAGCCCAGATCATCCTATCGTGACAGTCAGTGCAGAAGCCAGGCTAGCAAACAGTGAAAGAACAAATGCCCAATTGAGAGCGGAGATCGATATGCAAGCCCGGTCTCCTGAGCAATTCAGAACACTGGTCGCAGTAAACCAGCAGCTCCAAGCACAAGTCGCCGGACTCACAGCTGAGATAGGACGAGTCAAGAACGAAGGCATGTTCAGTCAAAATGCGTACCGCGGCATCCAAGTTCAATACGACGAACTGGCAGAGCGACACGCTAATACGCTCAACAACGAGAACGCTCTTCGCGATCAGCTCAGTCAGATTCAGGCACGTTGCGCACAAGCTGAGAGGCGATCAAAGCTGCTGGAGAAGGAAGTAGATGGTCTCAAGCAAAGGATGAGAAGAGCGGCAGAAGCGTTGGACGCTTCGGCTTTTTGAAAGGTGTAGAATGATTGATTTGGGGGTACTTCAGTATCGAAAGCTCATGGGGTTGATTTGGAAAAGTTCATGTCGCTTACGGTCATCCGTGGGTTTCCAATCCTGGGGTAGTGGAGTTTGCGGGAGTTTGGCAACGGAATTCGGGATGGTGCTTCGTGAAGATTGGCACTGCTTTGCGCGACATTCCTGGTTTCCTTCGGAGAAGGTATTGATCAGACTTTTTTTTATTGAGAATGTTTGACGTCGAGCAGGAAAAGATCAACGGGGCTATGTCTCATCGAGCCATCCATACATGCATTCATGTCTCTCAAAGTCGAGCAGCTAGTCTCTCACGCTTCACAATCATTGCCAGATTTCATCTGAAGCTACACCTTTACCTTTGTCTTGAGAATACTGAGACCCCCAGAAAGTGCAACAACTAGGACATGGAATCCTTCGAAGATCATGCATGCACAGCAAACGCAAACAGCAAACAGACAACGGCTATAACATCATGCTTTCACGCCCATATTCTTCGTCATCTACACCATGAGTTCCACACCTCGCACCACCACTACCAACACCGACGATATCGACAAAATTGTCAGGGTGAAGAACGAATGGAAAGGACTCTACGAATCCCTTGAAGAAAACCCGCACCACGCTGAACTCACAGATCAAGAAGCACGGACAAGGAAGAGATTAGAAGAGGACTTGCTCGTACCGGCTCTCAAAACAGCAGTGAAAGATGCGAAGGAAGCCAACAAGAAGCTGAAGGAATGTATAAGCGTAGTAGGCGTTGTGGATGAGTTGTGGGACGCCAGTGCTCTGAGATATGAAGTTGGTGGGGCTAGAGAAAAACTGGTCAACGCAGTTTGGGATCTGGAGGAAACCCTGTACGAATTGCGGAAGACGCTGAGGTTTGACGGAGGCAGAGTACTGGATAAAGTTATTGATCCGGAGGCAGATGATAGCTCTGAGGAAGAATAGGCCGTTGGCGTTCGACGCGTTTGTTGCGGCGTACAGCTGAGAGACCATATAGTAGAAGTTGTCTTCAATTGAGTACGATCATACTGCATTTCATAGTGCTGAGTTTTCCCGCGCAAATCAAGACCTGACCCAGTCTGAGTCAAAGGCGCACTTTATCCTTTGTTGACACTTTCCGCGGGAGTCGTCAGGCTGCCACATATGCCGCTTGGCTGACCCTCAAGCAGCGCAATGCTGAATTTTACGGCTCTGAACCATGCTGACAAGAAGACATGCGATGATGGCCGTAGGGAGAGGTTTGGTGATGTAGAGACGCGATCGAACGCGTCCGACGCGTTCTGGTCCGCATGGCACGTGGGGGCGCGGGGCAAGCGCGATTTCCAGCCCAGCTCGGAAGCTACGATGCCCTCAACCACGAAGGAGTCTCCAACTGGAATGCAATGTCACCTCTCGCGCGGTATTAAGATATCGCATCTCAGATGAGTTTGGCAACGACTATGTCACACCAGACCGGAAAAGCTACTGCATGGGTCGACTGCGGCTATCCACCTAAGGCGCAATACTCGGGTTCCCACGAACAAGGCGCGACAGCCGCAATAACAACGAACTGCTTCCGAGACTGTGGATACGCTGGTTACCGGTTGCCGCGTTGTCGGTATCTTAACACCTTTTGGCACGCTCGCAGATATGGGGGGGTAGTGCCTTGGACAGCAAGAGAGATCGGATCAGGGAAGACGTGCAGCAGGAGAGCGGACAGCAAGGTACATACGTCTTGCCATCAAGCGCAAATGCGCAATTGGTTGGATGCGATACGAGACGGCTGCCCAGCCCATTCGTTCGATGTCATCGAGGTGTCACAGCGTGCGCCATCACGAACGCGAAGAAGCAACTGCATCGATAGGGTCTGCATATCTAAGCCAGGCAAGGCAGGTGCCGATCGTCAATTTGCAAACGGAAGATTGAGAGCATTAGGCGCGCAGCAGGCCCGAACCAGACCGAGGCAGCCCGCACGGTATCACGACTCCCAGCCTCTGCATTTGGTAAGGCAGCATACAAGCGACACAGCAACGCCGCACTGGCTATCGATGTGTAAAAGCTGGGTGTTGGACTTTTTATCGACCTGCCTCTTTGGGTGCGCCGTTTTATCCGCCACCGGCTTGATCGTGACGGCGCGTCTTGGCACGGCCGCCAGCAATCTGGGCGAGAGCTTTGCGGAGCTTCACGTGAGAGCTGCATGGAGCTGCCCGCCAAGTCTGAGCCACGACTGCGGGACAGGTGGGCCGTATCGCGATAGGACGACGCAGAAACATGCTTTCTACGTTCCCACCGACGGCGAGCTTGTTTGTGCGCCCGCAGCGCTAGCCTGCATCAGGAAGGAGCGGTCGTGAACAGCGCCCATCTTTCCACATGTTTGGTATAGCAGCAACCGCATTACAGGGCGAGCCTGATGCCATCACCGAGTGCGCAGCCAACGAGGAGCGCCATCACAGCCAGGTACCGGTCCCTAACCCCCGCTGGCAAAATATCGTCCAGCCAGGGCCTGCAGCTAGGTACCGAGCAGCTCGTTGTACAAATAAGCTGCCTGCCCTTACTGAGCTTTATCCGACCATCGACCTTGTCCAATTGAGCTTTTACGAAGCTGGTCGCATATAAAATGGCTCGATACATCAGCGTTGCCGCGGCCTTGGCTGCTACCGGCGCCTGTGCCTTTACGCCTGAGTACGTTTACCATCATATTCCGTTGCTTGCGCAATTGCTAACAAGTGAACAGAGGACTCCTCAGCACCGTCCGACGTGGCGTCGCTGACGCCAGTCCCGATGGCTCTGTCGGCCTGTTCTCGTACTCCCAGTATTCCTTCGAGGAGCACGGCAGTGCGGGTTCTGGCATGAACCTCATCGACCTCAAGACCGGCGAGATCACCGAGTCGGGCCTCAATGCCAGCGAGATCAACGAGGTTGCCTGGATTCCCGGCAGCGAGACTGGTATCATCTACATCAATGGCACCAACGAGGAGGTTCCCGGTGGTGTTACCCTGTGGGTTGGCGACATCAAGGACCCCAGTGCCAGCAAGATGGTTGCTTCTTTGGATGCGCCATACTCCGGTCTCAAGGTCGCAAACACTTCGACTGGAGACATGCACTTCTTGGTCAACTGCATGGCTTACCCTAACGGTACTGCTGTCAACCCCGAGACTGAGGTCACCCCGGTGACAACCGCCCGCTACTACTCGGACATCTACGTCCGCCACTGGGACACCTGGCTGACCAAGAACCGCTACAACCTCTTCGCCGGAGCTCTCTCGGCGAACAACAGCTATGCGCTCTCCGGCGCTGGCATGCGCAACATCCAGAAGGGCATCAACTTCACCACCACTGCGCCTGAGACTCCCATCCAGCCGTTTGGTGACTCCAGCGACTACGACATCAGCCCCGATGGTTCCATGTACGCTTTCGTGAGCAAGGCTCCTCAACTCAACAAGGCCAACTACACCGCATCATACACTTATGTTGGTGCTTTCGCGTCTTCCGACGCTCCTATCGCCTTCAATGGCCCAGACTCTGCCGCGGCAAAGGCTGGTCACAAGGGTGCCTCTGGCCTCCCGTCCTTCTCCACCGACAGCTGCAAGCTCGCCTATGTGCAGCAGGATGAGGACTACTACGAGTCGGACAGGTGGCAACTCTACACTGTCGACGTCGCTGTTGAGGGTACCGGTGTTGCTGTCAGCAACTGGAAGGCTCTGAGTGCCGGCTTCGACCGCTGGGTTCAGGGACCCATCACCTGGGCTCACGACGACTCCTCCATCTACGTCACTGCCGATGACTACGCTCGCGTCAAGATCTTCAACTTCCCTGTCGATGCCGACGAGAGCTTCGTCCCCGAGCCTATGACTTCAAACACATCCGTCTCGGCTTTCGCCCTCCTACCTGATGGTTCGCTGTTCGTCGCTGCTACCGCCATCTGGACTCCCAGCGAGTGGTATATCCTTGCCGACGGAGAGAAGAAGACCCTCTTCGACGCGTCTCAGGTCGACCCCAACCTCGCTGGTCTTGGATCCCACACCGTTTCCGAGATCTTCTTCAACGGTTCCAACCCTGAGCTCAAGCAGCAACTCCAGGCCTACGTTGTCAAGCCTACTTTCTGGCAGGAGAACGTAACCTACCCGCTCGCCTTCTACATCCACGGTGGTCCTCAGGGTAACTGGGGTAACAGCTGGTCCAACCGCTGGAACCCTCAGGTCTGGGCTGACCAAGGCTACATCATTGTTGCCCCTAACCCAACTGGTTCTACCGGTTTTGGACAGTTCCTCACCGACTCCATCCAGGGCCAATGGGGTAGCTGGCCATACCACGACTTGGTCAACGCCTGGAACTACGTCAACACCAGCATGCCTTGGATCGACACCAAGAACGGTATCGCCGCCGGTGCTTCCTACGGTGGTTACATGACCAACTGGATCCAGGCCAACGACCTCGGCAACGAGTTCAAGTGCCTCGTCACCCACGACGGTATCTCCAACACCGAGGGTGCATGGGCCTCTGAGGAACTCTGGTTCATCCGCCACGACTACAACGGCAGCATCTGGGACTCCAACGCATACCGCGAGTGGAACCCCCAGAACCACATTGCCAACTGGTCCACTCCCCAGTTCGTCATCCACAACACTCTTGACTACCGTCTGCCTGAGAGCGACGGCCTGAGCTTGTTCAACATCCTCCAGGCCCGTGGTATCCCCTCCAGGTTCCTCAACTTCCCCGACGAGAACCACTGGGTGCTCAAGCAGGAGAACAGCTTGTTCTGGCACACCGAGATCTTCAACTGGATCAACCACTGGTCCAAGGGCGAGCCTTTGAGCGACCTGCCCATCGGTAACTAGATGGGAAAAGTGACGCTCCAGTAGCATTGACGACAACGTTGATGATAATTATTGGTAGACGATTGATGATAATACATTGATAACAATATTCATTTGATCAAATGTCAGTGACGTATGCTCGCGATCCATACTTGCTCTTCATCAGCACCCACCACAAGA